TTTAATGCGCCACAGGGACCGGGTTTTGCATTAAGACGTCAGGTAAAAGGCTTTTCATGAATCCGAACAGCTTAGGATAGTGCTTAGGGGTATATGGAAAATCACTTTAGTTATAGGTAAATTTAATATTTAATTTACCCTTTTAGTCTGATAAAATAGATATAAAGCTACTTTCAACAAAATTCATTTTTTTTTAAAGATGGTTTTGGTCAAGTTCACTTTGTCATGTGCAACGTGAATGTCTATTTATTGTAACTTTATTGAGATGTCATGACATCATCTTGCAATTTTACAAAATTCATAGAAAACTATAAATTAGCTGTCATTTAATTAAAAATACGTCGTGTCAAATAGTTCGAAGTAGCCGATTATACTAAATCTTTAATCGTAATAATCGTATACGTAAATATAGACTTCGAAGCATTCACTCATCGTAATGGATTCGCCAATGAAGCGAATCCATTATAATTAAGTATACATAAATATGTAGGTATATAACTCGTAATCCCAATATTTCTTCATTTATGTATCTTTAACTGTACTCAAATAACATTGCAGCAAACATTAAATATACCGAAGAGAATAATATCACAAATCTTCTAAAGGTCGAAACATAAATACGAGATACAGATATCAGACTCGTTTGAAGTTTGCTAACAAACTCAACTTGTGCTAACAAATGTCTCGTGTAGGTTATATTTGCTAGATATACGTTAAGGTACGCCTCTTATATATTAAAGGGATTAGCAGAGGTCAAACTACAGTAGACTTTTCGTCAATTATGCTATAAGACAATTATCCAACGATTTAATTTACCAATAACACCAATTATTTAGTTAGCCAAAGTTTTTGGTCGCGAGATTTTCTTCGGCCACTGTAAGTGCGGTGTTGTGGATGGCGATTTAGGGTAACCAGAACCAGACCCGAGCGTACGAAGCGTTGCGATCCGCGCGCGCCTCTTAGAGCCCGTAGTCCACCAAAGACAGGGCCATATAGGGCTAATCTTCACCCGGGGTTGCGGGACAAGCGCAATAAGGCACTGTGGCCTCGGCCTAGAGTAGGAGAAGGAACGGGGGAGTTTTAGTCAACAAGAGTCTGACACTCCCTCCCGCCGCGGTCATATGATACCATCGTCCTATCTGAGTAATTACTGTCGTAATGTTTTACCTAGTATTATGGTAAGCAAAAACGCAATGAGGGTAGTACCTAAGTCATAACTGTATTGGTCCAATTTGTGTGACATGTTCAATAAGCATAAAATATTCATTGATGGGATATAAATTAGGCATAATGATGAAAATTGGGGCTTTAATGGAATGGTCTGATTTGCCTGCGTGCTACTAATGTTGAATAATGTAGGATAGTATTCAAGCACATATACATATTGATTAGGAGATATAATGCATACCTAACATGTGTGTGTAGCAAGTACCACGTGACTTTTATAGGAGAGGCCGAGCAACGCGCAGGCGCACAAATGAGCTACTAGGTGATACATCCGCGTGGTAACACGCGGTAATCACCGATCACAACACCAGAAGAGCTACAAGATATACTCAAAGAAGGACTTATTCCGAGTTATATACTACGTATGAACCTTTTTCTGACACCGCTTCAAATACAATGAAAGAAAACATCGTGAAGAAAAACTAGACCTAAAATTTCTAATTTTAAGTTCGAAAACACCACCGCTTTGAGCAAGCGTGGTGCTTAAATGCTCCAACCTTATCCGTGTTAGATGAGGCCTTGCTCAGCAGCGATCATTTATAGGCTGTCGATAATAATTATTAATTAACACCTAGCCAATACCTACATATGATTGTTGTAGGTACCTCGATCAGTTAGTTACTCAATGAAATAAAATCAATACCGATTTAGCTTTAGATGGTTACGTATTAACGCCAATAGACGATGATGGTGACTGTGTAGGTACTAGACAATTAGAAATCCATTCACATTTTTCTTGTCTCAAAATAGGTATACGGAATCTTTCAGAATATTTGTAGGTACAACAATAACTACACAACATAGTATACATATATGAAAACATAAGTACTGGAAGGGATGTCCTCATAAGAGTAGGTATGTTGTATAGCACGACACTACAAGTGCAAGATCTACAATTAATATTATCTTATTTAAAATTATAGGTACACTATTGACAGTGGCACTGGCTGCTCAGAAGTTCTTTTAATATGTTTTGAGTGATTAACTTTATATCCCGTTCAACACTTGTACCGGTTAGTTTATCCTCGGCAAGAAGTTCCAAGACAGGACTGTCTTTCGAATTTTCTAGAACCATCTCTCTTTATGAAGTAACACAATTAAAACTACACTTTTAATTTCAAGTCTGATTGGTCCCAACAATGTTTATTAACTGTGAAAATGTACTTTATTTCATATATCTTTATTTCTTAAATTTCGTAGTTGACTTACGATAACAAAGAGTCAAAAACATTAAAAAAATAAAACCGTCAGATCTCTTTATAAACATCCAGCTTTTAATAAAACGAAATGGATTTTTCTCTGAGTAGGTATTTATTGAAAGTTCTGGAAAACTAAATCAAAGGAGAATGAAAATCGTAAATAGAAATACTTATTGATCTGGAAGGTCATTGTTCTTAAGATAATCTTGTGTTTAGTGAAGGTATAATAAAAATGAAGAAAACGTAAAGTAAAAACGATACGTAGCGAATAAATGAGAGACTAAAAAGAAGAATTATAGTGTAATGTTCTAAAAAACAAACTCGAAAATGTGGAATCCAAACATGGACAACAGACAAATGGAGAAGAGAGTTGTGGTGGGAAGAGTACGACCAACTTGGGCCAGAAATCTTCCCGAAGCTAGAGATGATGATGAGAAGAGCGAAGCAGAAGCTGGAGTGATGCCTCATAGCGAACCACCTTCTCCAACAGAAACCTGGGAACAACATTCAAAAAATGAAGACAAATACGATGTATTTGGAAAAGTAAGTAAAACGTTTTCCTTATTATTAAAAGATAAGTAGGTAGACTTTGTAGATACATTTCAGTACAGGTTCAGAACCGGTTCAGAACAGGTTGCTTTTAAAAGGGTTAAAAGAGAATAGTACAAATCATTTTATTCTGATTACGTAAAATGTTTTTCAGTGCTTTTCGAAAACAATAGATAAGTACAACGGGATCTCGATATAACGGCTTGCTTATGTCCAAATTAAATATCATAAGTTTTTCTGAGTACCTAGCCAAAACGTGCTCAATATGGAGATTTAAATGCTCATAATAATGTTTATTAAGTACCTATTCCTTTTCTTATGGGATAGATCGTTTGATGTTTCCATCCATCAAGAATCAAGAGGTTTGACGGATCAAAACAAAAAACATATCTTCTTATAGATAGCTTTTACCGGTTTACCTTCATGAAATATAGGTATTATGTAACATCTAAATTAGTTTCTCTAATTAAACGTAAGTCTACCAATAACCGACTGAGAGTTCTAGAAGCTTCGAAATTGGCTGTACTTAGATACTTAGGTATACCTATACTAATTAACGTTCGGTTCCAAAGTTTCCTTTTCACATTTCAATCATATTTATTAGTTTCACGGTTACCTCTGAGCTGGAAACAGATAAATGTTTGTACTGTTTAAGTATTATTAGTAATTAATATAAAGTGATTGTAACCGAAATCATCTGTTAGGTATGGATTTTAAATTTCGACAGAAACTTCACAGTACTAATTAACGTCTTAAAACAATCATAATCCAATAATTTTCGATTGAGCCAATAAAATTAGTACCTAGAGCGTAGGTCTAAAGGTCTAATAAGGTATCTATGATTTTTTGACAAAAAAATATCTACCTATATGTATCTATTGGTCTTTTCCTAATAATTTTGTATTGTTTTGCAGGTTATGCTACTTGGTGACAGCGGTGTCGGCAAGACTTGCATGCTAGTTCGCTTCCGGGACGGAACATTCCTCGCAGGAAACTACATATCCACCGTCGGCATCGACTTCCGGGTACAATGACACACGTTGCACGTGCCGACTCTAATCTTACCATCTTTTGCCTACTTACCTAGCCCATGCGACAAATGTAAACTTAATTTAGTTTATTTACATTAAAAGAATAAACAAAATTACTCGTACGTACTACAAATACCTATTCGAATCAAAATTTTTCACATAAAAAACGTACGTAAACATAAATATATAACTCTTGCGTTTTATAATCAGCAAAATGAAATCATCGTCCTATTTAGTGCTCCAAAGTTCATAACAGCTTAAGCAGTAATTGTCAGTTTATCCGGTTTAGCATCCAGCAAAAAAGTTCTATTTAGTTTTATTTGTCCACACGAAAAGCAAAAAGTCTCGATATCAATTGGCAAGAAGTGAATACTGCTATTATAATTTTTAATTCTTGCAAAAAAAGTAATTAATGACCGTCAAGGGTTCCAAGTTCAAATGGGCCAGTGAATGGCTGCACGCGACCGGTTCGCCGCAACGCTATTGGTGTTCGAAGTTTGGCGCGCTTTTTTCCGTTCCCGCCCCTTGCCCATGACAGCTGTGATTGAATCGACTGCTCGCCTGAGTGATTTATTGTTGCAAAGGTCTTTTTTTCTGCCTGTACAGTTTTTGCAGTTTGATTTATTATAGCTGTCTTTATGGGCTAGAAAAAGTATCTGGGTAGCCAATAACAAGTTTACATCCAGCTTTTTATGACGGATTTTTGCAATAATAACTGACATAATTGTTATTAGAAACAAATGCGTAGGTATTCGCTTGTTATTTTTTCCCCTTTTTTGGTACCTAGGTTACCTACGCACCTCGTATACTTATTTTTTACTCGTCAACTAGTAGGTTAACACCATGATATGTGGCATATTTTCTTTTACACTGTATCTATAAATAATATTATCAGAAATATTTTTAAACTGTATTTTTAATCTTAAAACTTCTTCAAATTTTAATTACCATTCCTTTGCAATTTTTTAGTACAACTAACGCCATCTGTTCGCAGAACAAGGTAGTGACTGTAGACGGCATCAAAGTGAAGCTTCAGATTTGGGACACCGCCGGCCAAGAGCGCTTCCGTAGCGTAACGCATGCATACTACAGAGATGCACATGGTATTTATTGAATTATATTAATAATTTTATATATTTACAAGTACCGTTACAGTCATGTAAAATTATTATTATTGTGTCTGATAACTTTATATTTTATGTGAAGTTTAATGTAACCAGGATACGTAACGCCATCTATCGACGAACCATAATCAACAAAACACAATTCAAATTGAGTTGTGTGTAATGAACATGATTTCTACCACATGGCAATGGCGCGTCCGTTTCTAAGAAGTCCACGTTGGTTGAGCGTCATGCCCAACTATCCTTGATAACAATAATCCTAAGTATTTTAATCAACACATGTCAAGTTCTGATTTTTCAAGGTTTTAGAACACTCATTGACTTGGGCATTTATTCAGTCATCATAATTATTTGGGTGCGTCGTCGTCGGGAATAGAAAAGCCACCAGCCCGCCAAGGTCTGGCCTCGACCTGTTTCTGTTAGCAAACCGGCTCACGTATTCACACGAGTGGAACTAGATTGGGTCACATTCAACTAGTCATAGCCACATCATGTCATTAACTTAGCCCAGTATCCTTATCGGGGCCGTTCTTAATTGATTCATGGTAGGCCTCTATTTTGCCGCGCGTACATATGAACCAAAAGTATATTCTAGCAAATATTATAATAATGGCTATGTTGTTTATTGGTGCCCCAGGTTTTTGTTTTAGAAACATCAGATTAAATACAGTGCCATCTATGGCTGCTAAAGAGTGAAATTGTAAAAGGTCGTTTAGGTATAAAGTACTTACATAACATTACTCGATATTTTTTCCGAAACGAAGCGTACTTACCTAGCTATGTGTGTCTGATACAGTTTCACACTTTCTTTACCACAGAACCTATTCTAAGGAATTACAATTCCTACTAAATACGTAAACATTCGAATCATGGCTAAATAAGTGACCAGTATTTAGAAGGCACTAAGCGATACGCATCCCAAATTACACCTTCAAATACAGAATTACCTATTATTCCTATCTTTTCCACCAGCGTTGCTTCTCCTGTACGATGTGACAAACAAGATCAGTTTTGACAACATCCGAGCGTGGCTGGGCGAGATCCGTGAGTACGCGCAAGACGATGTCGTCATCATGTTATTAGGTAAGTTAGAACATAGAAGCTCCAAAACTGTTTGTGAGAGGTTTGGTTTCTTTTAAATAGGTATCTATCTAGGTACTTAACTACCTAACTTAAGTAGCTAGGTACCTACAATGAAAGCCAGTCTTAGTTTTTCTAAGGATTCCCGGTGTAGCTATGTAAATTAGCGTTCTTATCTTCTAAAATCCTTAATTAGTTGTAGGTAAAATAAAGATTAAATTATTGCAATATTTAGTAAGTATCTGTAGTTCTGTAGTACCTAGTATCTTTAGTAACTCATCCAGCCATCTCTTAGGTATATAGGTAGTTGTACCCAAAGAGAATATAACCACTGGTTAATCGTCATTGGTTGTACCTATGCCAAGTATCTAGTATAGAATTATTTACTTAGAGCTGACCTTTTAGTGGGTACCAAACTTTTAGATTTATAACAATCACAGTGAACCTTTTATAAGATTTTTCAACGTCTACTCGAGGGTAGCACTAAAAGTAAGTATTTAGTTTTATGAACCACTTTCGTGATTGAGGAATTGCGAAGGCGGATAGATGGTAGCCATTAGATTTGCCAACTCTATCTGATTCATTTTGTTCTTTTTAAAACATGATAAGTATCTACCCAGCTTCTTAGCCCAGAATGTAAATGAACTACCGTAACCGTCGCAAACAAATGCACAGTTGAGGGGTTCTCAATACTCAACAAAGCCACATGAAAAGAGGTCGTGTTACATTATGCTTGCAGGTAACAAATCCGACAGCGGCCTAGAGAGGGCGGTGAGGCGGGAGGAGGGGCAGCGCTTAGCGAGAGAATACCAAGTGTCGTTTATGGAGACATCAGCCAAAACCGGACTGAATGTCGAAGCTGCCTTCGCCCATGTGGCACGCTCTCTAGTAGCGAAAGCGAACCCCGTCGACCCCTCGAGGCTGGCGGTGCGCGCGCAGCCAACACAGGAACAACGGTCTTCGTGCCCGCCATGTTCGTAATTTCGCGGCAAATTCAAATTTAGAATGTGGAACGATGTGGACCAATGTTTGTGAATGGTTTCATCAGTTGTATAGTTGACGCTGTGTTGGAAAGACGTATCGTGTGTGCATGGAAATGGTTATTAAAAGGCTAAAGTATTACTACTTATGCGTTGGACAAGGTCAATGAATGTGAAATGTTATAGAAAATTTATCAAATGTAAAGTATAAAGTACCGATTTCTATTGTAATTTTTGATAAGGTACTTCGTATATTGTTTATAGCTAAATGTATTATGAAAACCTAATTAATGTACTTACTTGTTTCCTTACAAATTTTCCTGTTAGCCCGAGGGAGTATGAACCTTTGATGATAAAACGTGTGCTTTACTTGCTCGTTTGAGGAAGAGAATAATGTAAAAAGGGCTTGTAAAATGTACTTTGATAAATTGTATTTATTGGGAATATATATTTACAATCGTAGTTGCATACTTAATGGACAAATAAAATGTTGTATTGTACGGAGGCGGAACATCTATTGTTTCTCAGAAAATAAAGTAGATACACGATACACCCATAAGCAAGTGTGGTAACTGCATATTTTCTCACGGACACTCTGACATGTGTTTTACTCACTCATATCAAGTTTTTTCAGAATTATACTTAGTGCCTGGATTGTAAGACTAACTATCTGGCATCAGTAATATCAAATTTTTACGAATTTGTAGGTACAAGTACAATCGGCGAATTTTTAAGTGACGTCATAAAATCGTGTTTTTCTCATGAACTAACCGCAAAAATCGTATCAAACGACTGATGACTTTCACTGCTTATAAGTAAATACCTATCAACTAATGTTCACAAATTAGGTCTTATAAATACGGTCCAAAGTTCAAGCAAGAAAATTACACCTCTAACGCACAAACCAATTTCGACCTTATTCTTCGCCCACGAAAGTGGCTTTTTAATCAGATGTTAGCAATTTAAGACAATAGTAATGTATAGAAATATATTCTTATCCTTACTGTGACTATAGTTTGAATCAATCAATGTATCTTCTACAGTAAAAATAGCTCCGTTTTAACATAGAATTAAATAATCATGTCTCACACATATAGACGCCAGCAGGTCAACCTACACTACTCTGTCAGTATGTGACATTGAAATTTCGACTTTATTACAAAGCGATACAGTTCAAAATAATAGGTTTGACATAAAAGAGTAGGTTGATATGCTAGCGTTTATACATTAAAACTAGAGTAGAAAAATAAGTTGTAAAGAAACCCTTATCCCTGTGATATCTATTAAATATGTACCTTTATGTATATCTATGTGTGTTATTATATGTATATGTACTTACAATAACATATCGAAGTAAATTACTCAAAGAGAATCAATCTTATATTTACTGAAGAGCTTTTTGTTATATTTATGTTAAAGGAAATCAGAACAGGAAAGAAATGAGATTATCATAAGAAGTCTTAGTAGTCACATTTTTATTATACATTGTCATTGAAGGGATAATCTTATGAAGGAGTATAATATTACGACAAAGATGTCTTACAAAGTTTAAAGGAAGAAACCCTCGTGTATAGTCAACTAAATCAGTGCTTGACCATACTAAGGTTGAATTTTATGTAGGTACTTGAGACCAATATAAATAAAACTAATTCTTTAAAATATGTTATCAAGGAAAGGTAAAAGGAAAAGTTATTTTGATCACTTGGGGTGGGACAAGTTAAGATTATGGATGTGACATCCTTTTGAAATTGATCAACCTTTTCTGTTGGTGACTAAAAAAACAGTTTATCATGGCCTGGCTTTGTATTATGATCCAGCACATTCAAAGGTCAGCTTAAACTGGTTATAATATCTTTATGTATTGTGTTGTCATAATTATACAATAATAGGGACTTATGTAAAACGTTTGGATAAAACACTCCTATTCATTTTATATTCTTGAGTTTAGTTTCGACATTCAAAAGCACTTAGTACTTACTTGACATTGGCATCAGTAGACGTGCCGATTCTCTCCTTGATTAAAATTTATCTATGGTAGTATGTTACCAACAATAAAATTCTCATGTTGCCAACTACTAAAAATTCTGTACCTGGTCAGTAAAAATCTGAATCTATTTCGGTTCTATCTTATACTTAGTGCCATCTTGTATTTCCGTAACTGTTAATTATGTATAATAAACATTGAAATTCACAAAAAAAAACCTTAAGTACATAAAAATCATAAAATACTTGTAAAGTATAGTAAAATTATATTGTCGTTGCAAATTTTGTTTAAATGTTGTGTGACGTTGGATGTTGCTTGTGCAGAAATTAATAAATAAATGCAATTGAATCAATGTTTTTGTTTTATTTTCACCATAGGTGTTCTTATAATTTTTGTGAGGGGAAAATCATCAAATGACTTCTCTAGCCCAGGGTGAGGTGAGGCGAGAGGGTTAAACTCTTACTGAATAAAAACCCTCCGTTCCTTCTCCTGCTTGAGGCCGAGGCCGAGCTACCTTATTGCGATATCCCCACAACCCTGACTGATCATCGGCCCTATAGGATAGGACCCCGTCTGTGGTGGACTACCTATTAGCTACCTTTTGGAATACTTACCAACTGCAAGTGCTGTCTGTCTGTTAGAACCTCAAGCAGGGAACGAACATTCATATAGGTATTCTTTGTAACTAAGTCCTATGAAGGATTAAATAGCTAGTGGTAAATAAATAGAATCAGAAAACAAAATTTTCACGTTTCGTATACTACGGTCCAATTACGTAGTAACCTGATAGATTTCGAACTCTCACTTGTGTCTTACGCCCAGGCCACTACTTATGTATGCTAAATTGTATACTACATATTTTTCAAAAGCCCACAGTCGAAAGACAAATTTTGGACCAGTATAACAAGGCGATGATATCCTAATTAGAACAAATTCCTTTAAGTCTCAGCCAGCACAGACCAACGGAAACAGATTAGGGTACCTACTCGTGTCATTTAAATAAAGAGCTAATATTAAATAAATAAGTGCCTAATACGTATTATAGATTTACAATACCCACTAGCTCTGTCATTATATTCGTCTGTAGAGAACGTTAGGGAACAATGCGCCCCTAAGACACATTTCAACGAGATCCTGTTGAAGGGGACGGACGACCACGTTAACCGACCGCGTCCCTTGTATTTGGTAGGTACGCAACGACGTGTATCTTGAGGGAACATCCCGTTCTTTTATTGTTGTACAGTTTTTAACTAGGTACAGCTCTGTTGTAAATGTTAATTTTGGCTCATGTTGATTAGTCAGGGAGTTAGCAAGCTAAAACTTGTTTTTTTGTCAAGGGTAGATACCGATATTAGTCAAAATTATAGATACCTTTCTAATGACTTGATAGATATATTTACAGGACTACCTAAGTACCTTATTGCCTTTTTTATATTATTTGAATTAAGTCGGCTATTGGGGGCTGTGGGTAATGATGTGGCCTACGTAATGGTAGAGCGCCTGCCCATATGAAACCTATTAAATAACATAGGTAACTTCTGCAAGTGCAAGTCACCTATGTATGCCTTATGATAGCCTGTTAGCTCAGCACAAACTGAGAATGTTCAATGTCGTACTTATATAAATCTAATGCTATATGCAATGCTTATAAGGCTTGAAAGAATTTTCACACAAGGACGGGTTCCCATAAAAATCATTGGTGTATTAAGTTCCTACAATATTATGAAAATATTAAACCGATTTTAATGACAATCATGTAAAAGCTTAAATAATTAATATTCATTTACCAAATATTATGTAAAAGCAATTATTACTTAGACTTTGGTATGCGTGCATTTTCTATGTTTTTTGACTTGACAAGTGGTATAGCAAAACGTAATCACTCTAAAATTTGTAAAATTCTAGGCATCAAAACGGAACGTAAGTACATATAACCGACTTTATAGAAGTTACGGTAAGTCATAAGGTTTCATGAGTATCCCTACTCATACGTTCCATGATAGGTAGCTACCCCTCTCTAGATAGCAAACTATGGTCATTGCTAGATAGGTAGGTACTATGGTAATACCTCTGAGTGTGCTTAGGTACATGCCGCCATGTTAGAATAAACTTACGAAAGCAGAAAATGACAATTACGGTATTTTCCCTACTCTAACCCGTTGCTCGACACTCTGGACTCGACAGTCATGGTCGAAACAACATACTTAGCACTACCAACGACGTATTCATCATTCTAAGCTACTAACCCATAGCCAACACAGACTGGGAACGTGATCTATGCAACCGACGAGGCAGTCCATAGGTACCTAAGTATAACAACATGATGAGAGAATTTTTTTTCCCAACTAAGAAACTACCACGTGAAACACCATTATATTATGTTTGAAACAAAGATGGCTAGCAGGTGGACTAATGTCAAACCTATTGTTGTAGGGGGCAGAACCATCGCCAAACAATGGAACAAATCCGTGTTACCTGAATGTCTAACAAACACCTTGTCTTATGAGATCTCTGATGGTAATTTAATTTACTACAAATACATATATCGAAGTTAACGAAATTCTGTCATTATAATACCTACATAATATTGTTCGATATAATAAAATACAACCGCACTAACTAGACATTTCACTTAATACTTCGTTCTCTTAACTCATAGTATGACATCATAGACCAGAATAGGTATTTCCGTAGGTCAATGACTCAATTTAGTGTTTTACGTTTTCATTCATTATTCTGCACTCCCCGCCATTTATGAATGGACTAAACTAATTTCTTTCTATTTTGTTTGTTTATTAGATACCTATCAAGTTGGCACTACGTGGGCTACCTTGATCCGATAACTTATGAATTCATTTTATGTTTTTAGACGACCAAATTAAATTTACCATGTTATATTCCATAATTTCATAAAAGTATAATCATTAGTTATTGTTTAGCAATGGCTATCTCCCAGAAACAAAGAAAATAAAACAATAATAAACAACGGTCTGAGTTTTGTAATCTCGCGCCATAACAAAAAATGAACGAAGTTCTCCGAAGTTTGAATTTGCCGCTTTGACTGTACTGGTTTAGAAAGAGAAAGAGATACTTTTATTTCACGTTTCAGGGAGTACAAACATTTTAAATATTCAATTGAACATCTGCTGAGAGTAGCATGTTTACCGCGTGTTTCTAATATTATGATAAATTAAGTGGTTTTAAGCTTAAATGTAATTAAAAATATAATAAGAAACAAAGTATTGATTAAAAAATCACTCAACACTAAATTAAAAATCAGATTTTACAATATAGAGTTGAAATTGTAATGTAAATAAATTTGAATAGACACGTTACATAAATAATTAAAATAAATGTAAAAAAATTGTCGAAATATCAAAAAATCTTTAAAGACGAAAACTATATTTTATCATCTTTGTAAATAGTTCTACTTCCTTAAAAAAGGTTTTATTTAAAATGAAATCTCATTAAATAAAAAAATAAGTAGCTATTTTTCATATAACAAATTATACTAAGTTAATTTATTTCATTATATGATAAATGCATATAATTAAAAATAACATCACTTAAAATGTTTGTGAGCTCTGTGATTATCAACATTTTGCGTTTCTGATGTTGGCCACCCCGAGGCAATTTTACGCGCACATGCGCAGAACGACAGGTGGTCGCCGACTCGAACCAGCCGTCCCGACCGAACCTATCGACTTCTCATCCTCATCATCAGCCGCTTTCGTGCTCTAGCAAGAACGATGTGCAGTGCTTTGTGTTGAAGTGGTCGTGGTGACATGGCGTCCCTTTTGTAAAGATTGTGGAAGGTGTAAATACTTTCAAAATATAGTTTATTTACAATGAATGTGAACTATGATCGTGTTTGTAGACTGTGCTTGTCATCTAGAGGCGAATTACTGCCGATTTTTCCTACCACCAGTTCCGATGACTCGGAACCTCCCGTCCTCGCTTTGAAAATCAAGGATTGTGTGTCCATTCAGGTATGTAATGTGTAAAATAAGTGAAACAGTGAAGTTTTGAGTGAAAGTAGACCCTTGGTATACGTGAGAACTCGTCATCCGCCTCGATACGAGCAATGACAGGCAGCGCGTTTAGGTGGAGATGTCGTAAGATCGTCCACCATTTTGTAATGTTCCACGGCTATCGCTCGGCTCGTGGCCGCGTCGCGTCGCATTCCGTGCAGCCGGCGAGGAATGGCGCGTCTCATGAGGGTCGGGTTTGGCATTATTCCCGGGGGTCATATCGGGAGGGGGCTGCGTATCGCTAGGCATGGCTTGCGTTGGCTTGGCCGTCGGGTGTATTGATTTATCGGACGAGACCAGCCTGCAGCTCGTCCCTCGGACGGGTCGAGCGTCGGTGTCGGCGTGAGTGCGCTATACTTGTGTGCGTATATCGAGCGCTAACCCTCGAGGGGCTCGCTGGCTGCCACTCGACTCGCTTCTACTTATTCGGTCGAGGAGTAGCCGCTCGCCGGCGCTCGGTTATACCTACGCCTACCTACTTAGTTTCTCCTCGCGTAGCTATCTATACACGAGGCGCGGTTTCGCCTCGGTCGTTCTGATGAAACGAGCGCGTCGTGGAGAGCGCCTATTTGCCCATCGTGCGATGATTACGTATGATTGTTTTTTCAGATA